GAGGTTGTGAATTATTACATACTGCTTGTTTTCTATATTTAATATAGGAATGACTAGCGATTTAACATATATCTATTTTAGCTGAAGTACTAATTCTGTGTTAATTTTAATAATGATTTGGCAGGTTGAAAATCAAGAATATTCCCTGGACTTCTGGAGAAGATCTCTAAATTCTCTTACTTGGATTGAAATACTCCGTCAGGTGCTGGTTGCTTCTGGATTTGGTTCAAAACAAGGTTCCTTACGTAGAGAGGTCCTTAGCAAGGTATTTCAAAGTCCAAACATGCCTATTCTAGATCTGGTCTGATTTATCTTTAGCATGTTTATATTAAGTATGCATGTATTTACATAAGATCAAATATTCTAGAGCCCTTTGATTATTAATATAATTTTTTTGCATAAGCTGCCTATCCTAAACGACACACATCTTTTTTTCTTGTTTTTCATCTACTTTGGCAGATCGAGGGAGGTAAATAATATTTGAATCATGTATGTCATGTAACTGAAGGCAATACATGGAGGATATTTACTTAGGCATGGTAAAAGTAAGTTATAACAATATCAATAATGTTTATTGGGAAAAACCCAAGTCCCACATCGACTATTAGGCAATTGAATAGTATATAAGTGGAAAGCAACCCTCACCTTACAAGCCGGTTTTGTAGGGTTGAGTTAGGCTTAATCCACTATTCTAAGATGGTATCAAAGCCATTTAGATCCACTTTAAAAATGGGCCACCCACCATTGATGCATGTCTCATAGGCATGAGGGGGTGTATTGGGAAAAACCCAAGTCCCGCCAATCCTAGATCATTAAAAAGGGCCACCCACCATTTATCCACGTACCAAGCCCAATAGTGCTGGACGTGAGGGGGTGTATTGGGAAAAACTCAAGTCCCACATCGACTATTAGGCAATTGAATAGTATATAAGTGGAAAGCAACCCTCACCTTACAAGCCAGTTTTGTAGGGTTGAGTTAGGCTTAATCCACTATTCTAACAATGTTAAAAATGTCTTTCTTTTGGCCATCCATACCTTCCAATTTCCAAGAGAGGAAAGATGTCTCTTTGGATTTAAAATGCAAAAGAAATAAAATAAAAAAGTCATCATCTTCTTTGATTTACTAATTACCATTGTACTATCCACTCCATGATAGTATTGGCAATAACATTTGCCAAAAAACATCAATTTCATCAGACTCTTCTACTACCAAACTGTTATGAAGCTTTTAGCACCTAATTTTCAAATTCCAATAAATCCAGCTCAATTGCCAAAACCACTCTGTTTGGCATCTCATATATGCTCCTTTGTATATTTTCAATTGATATAGCTAGGGTTATGGTAGGTCTGTTTGAAGAAATAAATAACGCATGCTGCTTATAAATAGGAAGAGGGATCGAGAGGAGTTAGTTGAGTTATCATTGTGGCTAGTAGAAGTTCTGAATCTCTTGAATATCCAGGGAATTTGTGTATGCCTTTTGTTTATCAATAACACTATGTTCTTTGTGTAAAATTTAATCTTTAATGGCAGGTGTTGCTTGAAGGAGATTTTGTTAATTTTTGTTCTGTTAATTTCAATAGGCTTTTCTTGGCTGCTGCTCAAAGTTTTCAGTTAGTGCATGTTTTGGTTTTAAGGCGTAGCCTTGTGCTTTGTTTTTTAGGAATTGAATCTTCTTGTAAACTATGGTCTATGCCCTGGCACTTTGAAGTGTGAGCTGTTTAACATCTTGTCTGAGAGAGGGAACATTGGATGCAAAGTATCTGAACTGGCAAAGTCAACGCAGGTAACTAACTGTTGTTATCTGATTCATTTTATTATAATATTTCCCTTTATTACTGATGAATTTCAACTGTATTTTGATATTATGTAGATTGCTGGATTAAACCTTGCCGGCACAAATGAGGAACTTGAGTCTTTGATATATTCCACGCTTTCAAGTGATATTTCTTTATTTGAAAAGATTTCATCAACTGCATACCGATTGCGTATGAGCAATGTTATGAAGGACAGTGATGAATCTCATTCAGATACGGAGGACTCTGGTAGTGTTGATGATGAACTTAATAACATTGATACGTGTAGCAGTGGTGATGATTTTGAAAGTGATTCCATAAACTCCAGTATAAGAAAATTGAAGCGTGCAAGCAGTCATAAAATTAAAAATAATATGCTGCAAGTGTACACTGAAATTGATGAGAGCCATCCTGGAGAAACATGGTTATTAGGACTGATGGAGAGTGAATATTCAGACTTGAACATTGAAGAAAAATTGAATGCGTTGGCATCTTTAACCGATCTTCTTTCATCTGGATCCAGCATCAAGATGAAGGTAAAATACTAAACATGGCAAAGGTTGGCCTTGAATCATCCCCCCCCTCCCCTCTCTCTCAAGTGAAATCTTAAATTGATATAACTAAAGCTATAGGCCCTGGATTTTCTCAGCTACTCTTGCTTCCCCTTCCAAACATTCCCTAAAATGTTGTGAAGTGAACTTTTGTTTTAAGTTCTAACTTAGTTATTTTTGTATAGGATTCAACAAAAGTAACAGCTGATTGCAATTCTAGCATCCCATTACGTGGTTCTGGAGCTAAAATAAAGAGATCAGTAGTAAAGAAACCTGGGCCATTTTGGAACCAGAAAGTACACATAAATTCTGATCCCTGTCCAGTAGATTCCTCATCATTAATCTCAAGATTCACTTCCTTTGAAAAGGCACAAAGTTCATCTATTTTGCACCCTATTCAATCAGTGTTTCTGGGATCTGATCGTCGGTTCAATAGATACTGGCTTTTCTTGGGCCCTTGTAATATAGATGACCCAGGCCACAGGAGGATTTACTTTGAATCATCTGAAGATGGTCACTGGGAGGTTATTGATACTGAGGAGGTAAATTTCTTTGGTTTTCTTATCATGTGTGACTCTTCAAGTATTGAAGTTTATTTTCTGATTCATTAGATATTTTAGTTACTTATATTGTAAGCATTTAAGAACACGTGTTTATTGGTCTAGTGTGTCTATTGTATGTATTACTATTTTAGTGTTGTTTATGGTTAACCTGTACGCATGCAGGCCTTGTGTACCTTGTTGTCAGTTCTGGATGATAGAGGAAAACGGGAGGCCCTTCTTATTGAATCTTTGGAAAGAAGACAAACTTCTCTATGCAGATCTATGTCCAGGATTAATGTTAATAGTTCTGGAATGGGTTCCATGTCACATTCTGATCAATCTGAACTGGATATGGTCACAGATGACAGTTATTCTCCTGCATCTGATGTAGACAATCTGAACCTGACTGAGATTGGTAAAGACTCTTTGCCATCAGTTGGAGCTGTGGTAATTGAAGCTGGAAAGAGAAGAGAGGAACAAATTCAAAAATGGATCCGTGTTCAAGAATATGATTCTTGGATCTGGGATTCCTTTTACTTGCAACTCAATGTTGTAAAATATGGTAAAAGGTCTTATCTGGACTCTCTTGCCAGATGTAAGAGTTGTCATGATCTATACTGGAGAGATGAGAGGCACTGTAAAATTTGTCATATGACATTTGAGCTTGATTTTGACCTAGAAGAAAGATATGCAATCCACATAGCCACATGCAGGGAGAAAGAAGACAGCAATACATTTCCTAATCATAAAGTGCTAGCATCACATATTCAATCACTGAAAGCTGCAGTTTATGCTATTGAGGTGAGTTGTCATCATTCATTGCATACTGGCATTGACGTCTTATTTTGTTACTTAAGATCTTTAAGGCACAAATGCAATTGGTCAGGATTTGTGTGGGAAAATTGATACTTCATTCTTTGTGCCACTTGGTTTTGTTTGAACAGGGCAGCTCTGTTCTAGAAAATGCCATGTTACTTCTAATCCAAGATAAGCATGATATTAAATTGATACTTAAATATGTTTCCCTAAGTTTTAACCAGCTTCTCCAACTTTCTAATATTTTACATCAAAAACTTGGCATGGTTTTCATGTTTATTTTTATGCATGTGGGCATTTTGATGATTAGTTATCTTTTTTCATTTCTCCCGTCACTGTTTGTGCAGTCTGTTATGCCTGAAGATGCCCTAGTTGGTGCTTGGAGGAAGTCTGCTCATAAACTATGGGTGAAACGGCTCAGACGCACCTCAACTTTAGTGGAGCTTTTGCAGGTTTTTGTTTTATCTTTCTGTTAGATAGAATTTCCCGGAGTGTCTGAAGTTCTATTTGTCTTGTCTTAATCTACTTGTGAATTTATAATTTTATAGGTTCTTGCCGATTTTGTTGGTGCCATCAATAAGGACTGGCTGTTTCAATGCAAATTTCCGGATGGTGTGGTTGAAGAAATCATTTCATCTTTTGCATCTATGCCCCATACATCATCTGCCCTTGCTCTGTGGTTAGTAAAGTTAGATGCCATAATTGCTCCCTACCTGGACAGAGTCCATCCTCAGAAGAAGCAGGGAATCAGTAAGAGCTAAAGAATTTCAATTTATTAGAAATAATCAAATAAATCACATAGCATGAGATACTTATTCAGACTGTTATAGTTTGTGTTGGTTGCAGTTTCACTTAGTTTAGATTTTTGTCATCTGCTTGAAAATTGAGGATATATGTCCAACAATGTTCTTGTTTTATTACTCTGCTCACTACCCGTGTTTTGTTTTCACCTTTCTTAACAATTAGCATCTGATGTTTAGAAGACGAGAAACTATAACAGGTTGAAACCTTTAAAACTGTCAACTTCCGAGTGTGTTATTCCCTTTCAGTGTGTGTTAGGACCCAGCCCAACAATTGCTCTTACCATGTCTTGCTGATGGATAGTGGAATTGAAATTTGCATATTCTTTGAGCAAATTGGTGTTATGTTGATAGGTCCAAGTGCTCTCTTTCTCCTGAGTTCATGATTTATTCAAAAGAAATCTATGAAATACCTAGACAAACATGCAAGTCTAGATCAAAACAAAAACTGAGTAGTGTCATGTGAGAAAACTTCAAAAGACTGGAATGTGATTAATTTTATATTTTATATTTATATTTTGTGATTTCCCCCCCTTTCATTTGGGGTTGTTGCAGATGTTTTCAATGTACTGTGGCCATAAGATATGTATGGTTCTCTCTTTCAGGTCAACACGATCCTTGGCGATAGGTATACATGCGTATATTGGAACTGAAATGAAGGAACTACCTGTTCTACTCCCTGACGCCCGGAAGGATTTATCCGAGATTCTTGTGCTGGCTTCACTTGGTTCTGAATTTTTAGAATGACTACAATTTGGCCAAGGCAAAACTTCGGATGTCAAAATCGTATATACGCAGGCAATCCTGTTGGTGGTCAGATGTATAGGTTTAGATTTTTTTTTCTACATAAAAAAATACTGGGTAGCTCGAGTTTTTTGGTGCGTAATCCCACTTTGTTTCTACAAGGTCACCCATTTTTTATGCTTCATGTTTGTGGTCTTCTCATTCGAGAAATCAATTTTGTCTTTGTATCTTACAGAATAATAATGTCGTACTGATTCAAAATAATTTGTATCATGAGAGGATTACAGAGTTTAAGGCCATTTATAAAGTAAAAATCGATTTACTTTGCTTTAAAGACTGTAAAAGTAGAGCAAATCTATTGATTTGCATCTTATGAGCTTATAAATGATCATAAAGCAAGAAAAAATTATGTGAATGAGAAAAAAATATTCAAATGTATGAGAAAACAATAAAAAGAGTGAAAGTTATGCACTCAGTAAAAGTAAAGGTATATAGAAGTCTTATTTAAATGTTTGGGGAAATTATGTACTCGAGTGAGAATGAAAATTCATTCAAATAAACAAAAAGGAAAAAAAAAACAGAATAGTGAATAAAAAATTAAATGGGTGAAAATTGGGTAAAAGGTAATTTAGATAGATATAAAAAAAAATTAGCATTTTAATTTGTGCATGCAGACATAATACAATAAAATATATATGTATTTGAATATATAAATCATTTAAAATTTGAATAAATAGATATCTTTAGACATAAAAATTATATTATAGTATAACATTATTTTTATTTATTCATAACTAGTATTTTTAACTTATGAAACGTACAGATTAAATGTTAATTATAAGCTACTAAAATATATAATTATATACAAATAAATAATGATTAAATATATAAATTATATTAAAATTTAAATAAATAGATATTTTAACAAATTATATTTAAAATTTATGATTAATAATTTATATTGTAAGAAAGATTATTTTTACTTATGATAATTTATTTCAAAATATTAAAATTTAAATTTATAAATAATTATGATAAATAAAAACTGAATTAGATAAAAAAAGTTTAAAAAAATCTTTAAAAACTTAAAGTGAAAAAAACAATCCTAAAAACACTTGCATTAGATAAAGAAAAGTATTTAATATATAGGAGATAATAAATAAACAAAAAAAAATCATAGAAATGTGCAAAATAGTTATTAAACGATTTGTCAATTATAGTGAGATCAATAAAATGTTTCTTATAATTATTTATGATTAATTATAGAATTCTTTTGTCCAAAAAATAAAATGATATTATGTTTTTAATAATTTTAAATTTATTTTTAATGAGAATAAAAAAAACTGAATTTTATATACTAATAATATAAATTTTTATATTATTAATCTATTAAAAATATCATAAAAACAACTTTTAAAATAATTATTATAAAAATCAATTATTTTTTATTTATGCAACAATATGATACAATAATTTTAGAAAGAGTTATTAGAGGTAGAACGATTAATTATAATATAAATATTCAGATTGTTAGCGTAGATGCAATACGATGAAACTTTTCTATTACTACTTTCATTCTAAATGTTTAGTCTTTTTTAAATTTCTTTACATTTTAAAGTCTGATTATTTCTTTTTCTCGATTATACTCCTATTTATTGCTCCACTAACCAACACATTAATATTAACAATCCTAATTGCATTAGCGATAAAGTTGGCATGTGTGATCCAAAAGTAGATGGTTAAAAATGCAAAAGCCATTACACAAAAAACAAATGCAGAACTTCGAAACCTCAATTGAGAATTTGGTAAATGCAAGGTTCAATAGTTTCGATATTTCTCTATAAAGCCTACAGAAATAATGCTCAGAAGAATGTACATCCCAAGTCACCAAACATCAACATCTGCCGACATGAGCTCGGAATAGTCTGCTTCCTCGTTTTCAAAATGGAAACTGCTTCACTATAAAACTGCATACATACCTGCAACAGAAACAGACAGGTATTTTAAGAAAATTTTAATATTTTATCATGTATGCGATATTATTTGATATAAGTTACGAGTACCTTCGCATATCAGTAAATTTCATCATTTAGCTTGATCAAATATATTTTACCCATATAAGAAATAGTCGATAGTAAGAAATAATGAATATCTTTGATTCGCCAAATTCATGGTACTAGACAGAACAAAAAAATTGTTCGTCAGTTGATTTACAAAAGGGTCACGAGATTGGATAAAAATCTTACAAAAACACTTACTATCATATTATTGTACTAATACCACTGTTATTGCCCTCACCCACCACCACCCTATCCTTATCATTGTCACTATTCCCACCACCACCATCTTCAATGTTATTGTAGTTATCACAATTCTTACCAACATGCCCTCCATTAATATAATAATAATAATAATAATTCATTACAGTAACTAATATTAAAAGGATATTATAATAAATTTAACATTAATTTGTTTATGTTGTCCATTATTCACCAAATAATGTACAAAATAAAAAGTTGTCTAATAATTTAAGCATTTGTTCTATGTTGTTATCTTTGTCATCTATCTCAATTAGGCATGGCAATCTAGCCCGCCCCCGTGGGTACCGGCCCGAACCCGCCCCAATTTGGATGGGGAAAACCCGTGTTTATCGGGTTTTCCCCGATTGATAAAATCGGGGACGGGGATGTTAATACCCACCCCGCT